CTCAATTCGGTGCTAGTAAAGCACTCTTGGAAAATTTCTTTAAAATCCCCGTATTTCAAAAAAAAAACGATTATAAATGATCGAAAAAAACCATAAAAATTATCGAAAAAATAAAAATCATGGAAACGATTATTTTTAATAAAAAAAAAATATAAATCATAAAATAACTATTATAAATTATCGTAAAAATATAAATCAAAAAGTGACGATTTTTCATTGATTTTAAGATAAAAATCCTTCATAATAACAACTAATTTCGGTCGCTGATTTTTAGTGAAAACTTGAAACTTGGTTCTTTATTAAACGGTTTTCGTTTCCCATGTACCTATCATTGAAAATATATTTCCTATTACCTTTTTATACCGCTAAGAAATAAAGCCATTCCCGTTACACGAACAACTTTTGCTTTCAAATTGTCATTTGTATGTATGTATGTATGTAGTTTGGTGGGACCTTCGAAATTGATGCAATTTTATAATATTCTTGAGCGAAGAAAACTGATTTTTAATTGTATGGAGTACCAGGCAATCTAATATTCACAAGCTCGTCTATATGTACAAATGTATATCGTCGTCGTCAATATGTGTTGTTGGTGATTTGCTGAGCGACTAGACTAACTAGCAGCTGATTGTAACTGTGACTGCGACAGCAAAATAGCAGCAGCCATACTGGTAGCAGAACGATGGCACACGAATGCCGTTATAAAAACAAAAAATCTAAGAGGAAACAGAGGTTAAAAACAAAACGCAAATTACAAACAAAAATAACAACAAATAGGTAAGCAATGCTAATAACAGCATCAGCAAATCATACAATAAGCATACATATATATGTATTTACATACGTATAGTAGACTAGTATCACGAGAGCAGGACGAAAGGGGAAAGCACATTCATGCGATCTCCCTACACGTGCACCAAAATCGAAAAGTAACATTAAATATTTAGTGCATATGTATTTATTTTACCAGCTGTAATGCTATCAATTAAGAAAAAAAGTAGATATTTCTGATATCAATATATGTATGTATAATTTCGATACAAATTAGGAGCTCTCAATCAAAATCAGTATTGGGTAATTTCGTGTTGAAGTTAATGTTGGGATTAAATATGAAATCCCATTCGTGTAAAAGTTTACCTGTACTTTATTCCAACTTTATCCTTCCACCCACTATTATTTTGATGAGCCTCAGTGAAATCTGTGTTATCAGGGATGAAGACAAAGCTTCCAAGAATACTAGAATTTTCAAACTCTGAGGCATATAAACACCTAGTGAACCCCAGGCTGAGCACAAAACTAGCTGCAGCGACTATTCCTATGTACGAAGAATGACGTTAATGGTCTGAGTAGGAGTTGATTGAATATTCAGTGCAGCTTATTTTATTTCCTCGAAAAAATGCAAAAGTAATAAATACTTCACTGCAATTAAACTTACTTGATCTCGGTAGCTCAGACAGAACCGAAACACTTGGACCGAGGAATGTACGCTTTCTTTTAATTAGAGGCTGGCAGCTCCAGAAGTATTTTCCTACTTATAAATTACATACATACATATATTGACTAAAATATACATATGTATGATTCCAGTAAGAATAAAGCTTTTTATATTTGTTATACATATTGCATACATATATTGGTCCGAGCACATCAAAAAAAGTTTTCTTTTTAATGGCAACCATACTTTGTATGGAACAAAATGCGTGACACAACAAAAAAAAAATTATGAAAATCAACACAAATTTAATGGGTTAAAAACTGCATACTTAGAAACGTTGTTGTTTTTGTAAGGTTTTATTGAATTTTTTTTTTAATTTTCTACAAAGTTTGAAATTTAGACTTATATGATTTTTGTTAAACAATAAGCTAATAAAAAAAAAATAAACATTAAACAAACGACAGAAAAATAGCGCATTCAATTTTAGTATAGTAAAGTGCAACTTTGAAGTAGCTGGGACTTATCGTTGATTTTTGGCAATTTTTCTTGACTATGTCAGTTATTTTCTTCCATAGGAAGTATGTTAGACGATTTTTTTTTATATTGAGAAAATGAACAATACCTTCGACGAAAATTGCCAAAAATCAGCGGCAAGTCTCGGCTGCATACTTCAAACTTATACTTTGTTGAAATGCTTAAAGTTGAATGGGCTACAAAACTGCACACTCAAAATATTTCTAAGAAATCTAATTATGAAGCTCGAAATTTTTACGTAAATTTCTTTATTTTTTAATGTTGTGCAAAGTGCGCAACTTGGATTTATACGGTTTTTGTTTAAGAATGAACTATATTTTTATAAACAAATAACTAAAATTAAAAAATAATAAATTAAATAGTCAAATCTGGTCAATATTTGACTATTGTAAGGTTATGGTAGATGTAAATAAATGAATAATAATTTTTTTTTAAGTTTTAAACACTGCGTTAAAACTAACCTAATACGAGTATACAACCATTTGTGTATACCTACAAAGTTTCAAATTTGTAAAAAAAAAACAAAAAAGTATATTTTGGCAGCAGGGCGTATGAGTAACACCAAATTTTATTCGTATTAAAAAGTATAAATTCACAAACATACCTTTCAAAATACATACATACATACATAGTGCAATAATGTAAATAAAATACACTCAAAATCATTAATCAAAAGCCAAGCTGTTCCCGTTAGACTATTTTTTAAAGGCGTATAAATCGGATCTAAAATGTAATGAAAGTTGGCAGGCACTCAACTTTGGGGCAGGCGATTATGTAGTTCAGCTACCGTTTATTTATATGGGCAATTTTTTTACAGGTAACTGAATAATAATAATAATATTTTGGCGCTTGTACATTTGCTATGTGTTTGGCTATAGAGTTGCTAAAAAATTATTTTAATACTTTTTTTACTTTTACGTCTTCCCTATAAAAATAAATGAAAATTTTCAAGGGTTTTTGATTTAAGTTTTGCATCTTGTAAAGTTAGCGGGTAAATGAAAAAATTTATTTCGGAGTTGTTTTAAATTAGTCTTGTAAGAAAAGAATTACTTAATTATTTTANTTTTAATACTTTTTTTACTTTTACGTCTTCCCTATAAAAATAAATGAAAATTTTCAAGGGTTTTTGATTTAAGTTTTGCATCTTGTAAAGTTAGCGGGTAAATGAAAAAACTTATTTCGGAGTTGTTTTAAATTAGTCTTGTAAGAAAAGAATTACTTAATTATTTTTCTAAAAAATATTCCTTAAATTATGCTGAGATAAAAAATTAATTTACCTAAAAAGTTGTGTACAAATCAATATGATACAAACGTAAGATATTTTTATGGGTCGTTTTTTTTATACGAATCAGTGTCTGGCTGACAAGATCGAAGTGTATTTTCATATTTCTGCAACGGAATCGAGCAAATCACTATTGGATCCGGCGTTCGCTCACAGCATTCTCACCGTACAGTTCGCAAATTTTTCAGCATCTTTTAGCAGCCTTTTCACCTTTTTTATAGAAAAAAAAGCAAACCATAGCGATTTTCATCAGATATTTCACTTACTTTCAACTCAATATATGTATATAACTTTTTGCACGAGCAACGANAACAGACTTTTACGTATGTAATGCTGTGCGTTGGGTAACCGCTTACACGCGAAGCTCATTTAACAGATTCCTTATGTGACAACTCTCAAGCAATGCCAAGTGTGCATAACAGAGCCTTGAGTCTGAAAAACATGCCTGTCACATAATATTCGCCATGTTTTTTGAGGTTAGGGCTAAACCCAGACCCGTTTAGCTGTTTCTGATGCCAAATTCTGATTCACCGCGTCAAAATACATAGAATTGCATACATATGTAGGTCTCGTTCCCAGATCCTAACTTTCTTTTGGGTGGCCCCACTGATGATTGACTCGGTTTTTCGAAACCGGTTTTTTTCGTTTTAGGCGGCTTTTTTTAATCTTTTTTTCGCCTGCAGCAGCTTACTAAGCTCAGTCTAAATCAGTACAAGTTGTCTTCATTCTCATCTAACGGCAGGCTCAGCAAAACAACAGATCGATGGGTTTGGACCATGGGGAGAGGGATGCTAGATGAGCTGATGTGAGTAGCATAAAAAGAGGTGACTAGTCTCGATGAGGCATCTTATCCAAGTTGGATTAAAAAATTTTACCTGCTACAACATCCAGAATGGAGTTGTGTCAAAGTATCGTGAGAATTGCGAAGCCACTCGGGCTCTTCGTCTGCGATAGGTGGTGTGGATCTCCTATGATGGAATTCAAGGCGTGAGAGTTGACGAAGGTGTTAATTGGTTCTCGGTAAATGGCCTGTCTACATATAATAGACTATATGTATTTGTATAGTCGGTCTGGTTCATTCCCAAGACGGTCGATTCTAAATGCTCGATTTTTTCCTAAGACTAAAAATACTCGGCTCCTTTCTGGGAACCACTCTCAATGTAAATCAATATTAATAAATAATAAATATTTATCTACTTTTATTATTAGTTATTTTATTTTATTTTACCCTGTCTACCATTTCAGACCCGCCCATACATATACATACATACATACACATGCATATATACGTATGTAATTATTTTATTAAAGGAACTGGAGATAGTTAAAATTCTTAAAGAACAAGTACATACATATCTACATATATATGTAGTATTTCAAGTAAAATCGTAATTGTAAAGCATGTTACAAGACAGTGTTTAATAATTAACATTTACATACATTTTTAAGTGTAAAACAGAAAAAAAAAATTGCTTTAATTCATTAACTTTTTAATATGTCTGAACTGAAATTGAGCCTAAATTATGGGGATAATGTGACGGAAGGAAATGCAAAAATTTATTTAATATTTTATGAATTTTTTCAACAGCTGTCCAAAAGCCGGAAGCATTTCTCAGCTGCAACTACGCTCCGCCTACCCAACCAGACAAAAATTTTATCGCACAAAACGAGTATAGCCAGTCATTTATTTAAAAATAAAAATATGCATTTTTTTTTTAAGGTCAATACTTTTTTTATCATGTTACTCACCTGTTATATTTTACTGAGATTTTTCGCAACTGTTATTGTTGTTTTTTTACTGCCTTTAAACTAATTACTTTTTTTGTTTTTGTGTTGTTTGTTTTTTTTATGGAATGTATCGCTTTGTTATTCTCGAATGCGAGTAAAATAGCAAAATATTTGCTGTATTTATTAATGTTGACGTTTGGTTGCGTCACTTGTCACTGTCACTTTTTTCCCGTTCCGTACGGGCATTAACATTTAAAAATGAAATTTCAAATCGAAATTAACAGGGCTACGAGTTTGGTTAGTGCACGTAGCTGTAATGTTTATAGTTTTATTATTTTATTTTGTTGTTTTTTATTTCACTTTATCCGCTGTTTAAATTGTTTTGCTGAATCTCTGCTTTATTGTACATACAATACATTGACATAGTGTTATTAAATAAGTTAGCTTATAATAAGTACAAACATACTAAGTATGTATGTATGTAGGAATTTGCATGTACATACATATGTACGTCTGTGTGTATGTACGCTTGTGCGTGGATTGATAAATTGGTATTTTATTTAATTACAGTTATTTTTACTTTTTTGCTTCTACCACTTAGCAGCCGCGAGATGAAACTTGAATGGTACGCTCACTAAATTCAAAACAAAAAGAATTGAAAAGAAAAATTTAAATATATACCTACATACATATGTACATATGTATGCATATATCTAGAGATATGTGTATGTATGTAGTTATGCATATGTATGTACATATGTACATATTTAGGTATGTATGTACATATGTTTTCATATTTTTAATTTTATAAATTCAGCAGAAGTGTCATTAAACCCGGAAACTTTTTTCAATAACAAAAAACACATCACCAACAATGAAATAATCAGAACAGCAGCAACAACGCTAAATGAATGACATTTTATCGTTTTCGCAAAACAAAAACAAAAGATCTTGCAAAATAAATTCATCAAAAAGTATTCTTCTGTTGTTGTTGCTTTTTTTTTATTTTTATCTTCAACGCATTTGCTGTTTAACGAATGTCAAAGCCTTTTGCGCCTTTTTATTTAAAAGGTTCTTTTTTATTTATTAATTTTTTTTAATAATTCAACTTTTTATAATTGCAAACAATAACCTAACCTTCAGCTTATTCACAATGAAATTGTTTCAATTAAATTTTAAGCCTGCATACATATGTACATATATATCAGGGATGCCAACTCCTCTGGGGCTAAGTCCCCGAAATTTCAGAAAAAAATCCCCTATTCTCGATGAAATTCCCTTAAAATTAATTTTGCTACCTATTTAAGGCACTTGAAGCTCAACATTAAATATCATTACTTATGATATAAGTATGAAATAATATAGAAAGCTAGTACGATGGCTTGGTGACGAAAACGAAACGAGAAAAGAGGGTCTCATACGAAAACGGGAAAAAATTTAGAAATGTCGCTATGCACAGTTGCAATTTCTTTAATATCCACACGGTTGCACGAGGCAATTACGTAATGTTTCAAACCCGTAGTAAAAAATTAGAGATTGTTATCAAAATTTGTAATTTATAAATGCAATTTTATCCGCAATAGGAATGTTCTAATCAAAATCATTTGAATATTGAATTCCCCAAAATTTAAAGTCATTCCCCCGGTTCCCCCGAGAAATTCAAATTCCACCAAAATCGCGGAATTCTCCCAGGGTTGGCATCACTGACACATATGTATATATATACATATATACATAGCCACATAGATATCGTACGAATTAACGCAATATGAAAGTACGTATTCATAATTCGCTGTTGTGTTTGTTTCCTTGCTTTAATCTTACACTTGTGATATGCTTTCTCACTGCATAATTATGATATGGAATTTTCCTCCCGTTCAAGTCACTTGTCTCACAAACACACACCTATAAACTCTCCGATTAACAGTTATAAATTAAATTCTCCTTCTCTTCCCCTCTACTACATTCTATGATGTTTTTTTATTGTTTTTGTTTTTCACAACTTCCGACTTCCGCCGTCGGTTAATAAATGTTGACAACCGAAGGCGTGTACCGTTAAATTCTGACTGACGCGTTCAATTTGCGCGCACAGCACTCAATACGTTCACTTCCAATTACCTCAAACTCACATTTACGATTGCCAGTCGTCGCCTCTGCTATGCTCGTTGATGCTGGCCACTTCGTTTGTAGCGTAGCCAAAGAATTTCACATAAAAACACCAACAGAATTTTTTGTAATTACGTTTTGTGCTGGTTTTTTATTGCAAGAATTGTTATTGTTTTCCGCATGGTTGCCAACACAGTATGACTGGTGTTGATAATGAAGTAAACAAATCAGCTGCTACAGGTGACAATCGGTAAAACAGTGCTCCGCTGTGTTTCATGAGTCGTATTTTGCATGCGGCCGCTGTATGACCATCTAAATAGCTACTAATGTGAGACTACATCCGATAGGAATTTAAAAGTAGCACTGCCCAGCCCACAAAAAAAGCCTGTGATTTCAATATAGGCTCGGAATTCTTCTTCTTCTTTGTCGATTTCAAAAGCGCTTAGGACCACTCGCGACTTACGTCCGTCCATTTTTTCAACGTAACCGAGCCAACGCAGCCACTGTAAGATATGCCTTAACAACTTGATGAACAAATACTATTTCAGAGATAGCCGCACTACGGATGCGTTTATAACAGTAAAATATAGAAAATAGTGAAAAATAAATCGATAGAAATCAATTTCTAAAGATTTATTTTACCTCCTCTACTGTGGTAACAGATTTAAAAGCAATCTATGTAGTTTATTTGTTGACCTGTGGTGTCGCCTTCGCTCGTTAATCCTTTTTATGTTCTGTGTCCACTACAGTTTATTTTCTTACCCGCGCAGAATGGACAGCCAATAAGAAAGTGTTGAAGTGATTTCACCCCATCATCTTCAGAATATCTGTGTTATTAAGACTTTTTAACCTCTACATATATCTGTGGTCACAAGCAATAACCGCCGACTTAAGAAAGAATGCAGTTTTATATGTTATCGTATTCTTCAACCACTATTCCACGCGTATGTGAAATCCCCATCTCGCCAGCTAGACTACTTAAAAAGTTATAGGCGACATTACAATCCAAATGTTTAAAAAGTTTTTTTCTCGAATTCAGGCTTTTTGACTTAAGCAGTTATTGCTTATGACCACAGATATGTGTAATTCGATCGGACAAGTACTTCTCGAAGCACCAAAATATCCATACGCATTCCTCGCCGTTCTTGCTCCCTCCTGTGCCAGAAAGATCTTGCGCTTCCGTACAATAGTCTAGTGTAAGTAATACATTTTACATTCTTTTCTCAATGTTAGACTGTCTAAGGCCCGAAGTGCTATTTGATTTCATCAGTGGACTCAAGGCGAAGGCTCTCATTTGAGGAAGGAGTATTTTTGTGAACATTGTATTCTGTAGTGAATAAGAGCAGCTAGATGGCCACAGTAGACGAGTGATTTGAGATGCGTATTTCCACTCGGTGGGTTGGCGACGGCTGTGGTGTAGTGGTTATAAGTGTGTATTTTCATTCCGCAGAGCCCAGTACATAAAGGTACAATCGCCGTTCGGAGTCGACGTAAAACTGTACGTCCCTCCCCTTTGTGTGCCAACATCATGCAGAGTAACATGCAAACAATTAAAAAAAAAATGGCAAGTATGTGCCACAAACTGGAGTAGAATGTCGGCCAAACATTCCAGAAAAATCGTGCCACAACACATCAAAAATGTGGTAGGCCTAATTTTTATTTTTTTTTAATAAGACCAATTGCGACTTATTGAGTTTAACGGCCTAAAATCTTTCTGAGACATGATCAACCACCGTCATTTGGCATCATTTCCTAAATGCGCATACATATAATACATTCATAATATGATCCGCTCCTCTTTAAACTGAAACATCTATCCTTGTATTTCTCACAAGTTGATTTTATTTTCATTCATTACCTACTGGAATTTTCTTTACTCGTACGATTGATTCAATTTTGTGTTATTCCTTTCTTTTCTTTCATTTCATATGAAGTTACATGATACAAATATAGTAAGGTAGAACCGCTGAGAGTCACTTTTAAGATTCTTGACGTTTCCAAACAATTTAATTTTTAAATTTACTCACAAACTCACACACACATTTTCACTTTCAATCTCAAGCAACAACAATTTCGAACAATTTCAATTTTTTATTTTCACTTTTATATGATTTTAAAATGTTGGCAAACTTCAAAAAAAAATCATGGCCGACAAATTGAGAGAACGGTTATACCTTGCTATGTTTTTATCATGTGAAGTTACTTATCACTAATTGGGTTTATTTACGCTCCCAGAAGCACTTACAATAAATTTTTGAGAGCTGTACGTCAATTTTATTTTTTTATTTTTTGACAGATCTTATTCAAAACTCTCCAGAAATTCAAAGAGGTTCACACATTGAATTAATATGAATTTATTCAGGCTATCAACCTTTGTAACACCACACTCCTTCATTCAATTGTATAACTATTTGTCAATACCTATGTAGATATTCGTAATTCTACGTAAGTATGTCCCTAATATCGAATATCATCTGAAATTACATCAGCGATTTCCTTCTTCATATCGTACGCCATTCCTATTTATTTATTTTTTTTTATTAACGTCAGCTCCTAATTGTAATTGCATTTTTTAACCAAATATTGTTCTTTCGTTTATTGCAGTTCTAGTCACTTATTCCTAGAGTTAAAGGGGTATTTATAACTTATTTCTATATATATATATATAATTATAAGTACATATATATTCTTATCAAGTTAATCGCTTTTCTTAAGTCTTTCTTTTTTGTTATAATTCTTGTTCGCTTTTTATCTTTATATCCTTTCAGTTCTGTTCCATCTATCAAAGCTTAGCTATACATAAGCCAAAGTTGGTTGTCTAATTTCCCTTATCAGGTTTTTTTTTCGTCAAATGTTAGATAATTAATTGTTCACACTTTTGCTTCGTTTGAATGAATACTTTTATGATTTTTTTTATGTAAGTATTGTATGAGTAATTTGTATAATAATTTATTTATTTTGAGTTGTTTGTAAATATGAGATTGTGTCCAGTTGAATCTACAATTTAAGGCATAGTCTCATTACTAACCATTGCTTTAATTCGACAAGAGCTAAGTTTTGAAAAAAAAAAATTATGTTTGTTCAAATGGTTAAATTCTATTAATCATACGTAAATATCAGAGACTGTAAAAAAAAATTGTTTTCAGGTTTAGAAATCAAAAAGACTGCGGGAAATAGTGGTACTCATTAGAGTTTTCTCTTATTGTATACTTTTATTATATTATTATTANGGAAATAGTGGTACTCATTAGAGTTTTCTCTTATTGTATACTTTTATTATTTTCTTCAAGAATAAAGGCCTGTCTGTAGGGATTAAGAAAAACGAAAAATTCATATAAAATGATGCAGAAGAAATGGAAAAGGAATTGTATGTATTCTATAAAAATTTCTTAAATTGGTATGCAGTTCTCACGGAAAATGCTCATACATATATTTACTTCTTCAAGAACATTTACAGCAACAGCAAAGTCGATACTTTTTCAAGCAAAAGAAATAATGAAAAATATTTCTTGTGATTTTTCTTGCGAGCTGGATTCCAGGCTTTAAGACAAAAATAAAAGGCAAAGTTGACCTGTTTTTTTTTAGCAAAAAGTAATCGGCCATTGTCGCTTTTTATTAAGAATGTTTCGGAACCTTCGCCATTTTTTCGGGTCCTTTCGGCGATTTTTTGAGATATTTCAGTTTCAAAAGTCCATTTGAAACTCGATCATGCTTTTTATGAATAATCGGTATGGTCTCTGATAACAATTATACTTTATAGTGAAAACAAAAAAGTGTTAGACTAAATACTACATCAATTTCAAGTTTTTCGAGACTAACTAATTTCCGCCCCGAATGACTCAATGCAGATCCCTTGTTGAATTAGGGGCGTGGCATCGCACATACAAGCTTAAATTTTCATAATGCAAGCATAACAAACAAACAAATGACCACGTGTGGTTTTTTTTTTAAATATTCGTAATATTTTTCCAGCTAATTTTTTTGTTATTTTTATTTGAAAATATCGTCTAAGCTTTAACCGAAACCGTGTAAATCACAGTTTCAAACTTTATACAAAATTTAAGAAAATTCCCCAAATTTTCATCACAATTTTTATTCTGAATTTTTAGAAATTTTTTGGGTATGCAGTTTTTAAGCCCATACAACCCATAGCCCATATACAATTCTAGTCTATTAAAGTGCAAGTTTCAGGATTCAGGATAAAAAGCTGAAATTTTGATGAAAATTTTGCATTGTGAACAACGACAAAGCAAATCTCGGGTAAAATGGCAGAAAATATAAACAAAAACGTATTTTGTAAAGAGACTACGCCAACAAATACTATATTTCCCACACACCATAAGCACTAACACCACTAATCTATGTAGAATGATTAAGGACCGAATAGAAATATATATTTGATAATTACACTCTGCAACAAAATGAGACGAATAGAAAGAGACACGAATGCGGTATGCCAATTATGAAAGCGGAAGAGGAAGAGGCCACCTGCCGTGTTGTCCCTAAACGTTAAAATTTTTTTTCAGCGTATTGAAGTTATCCTATTTTGGTATCAAGTTGATGTAAATCATTTGAAAAATTTCTTGTAAAACTACATTCAGCATTAATATTGTCTTTAAAGGTCTACAGTAAAATTGAATGACGCATTTTAACCCACTATTTGTCACCCGTGGTGTTGTTGTTGTTGTTATTGTAGCGGCACTACTAAGCCCCGCCTAATTCGGTTCATCCTTCAATTATTGTCGTCAAGCTCAACGAACGGTAGGTCCAGGAAACGGGCAGTTTCAATAGGGCTGGACCAAAGGGAGAGGGGTGTTAGTTGAGTGGGATAGAGTTGGCATGTGAAGAGGTGGTTGGTGTCGTGTGGGGATTCTCCACATGCCGGACACTCGTTGGGGACATCGGGATCGAGCCTGGACAGGTAGCTGTTGAGTCAACTACACTATTCAGCCCGTAACTAGGCGGGGGTAACGCGGGTCTCTTTTGGCAATCGAAGCTCCGTTTCTGCTAGAGGCGGTGATTGGACTCCGATCACGGCATTCATAGACTGGGAGTCATGGTAGGTGGTGAACGACTGCCTATG